TTAAATGTTAGATTAAGTAATTTTTCAGAAGATTTTTATAAAGGGGAACACGGTTTGATTTAATAAAATGAAATCATATATTAATATTATTATTATTATTTATATATATATCTTTTTTTATTGAGAACAACGAACAGCTTTATATAATACATAGCTATATAATAATTTGTTTCAAATCCATTGTGATATCCACATGTTACTAAGTCGTGTTAAGCTCGATACAAAACAAAGCGTCTATATTACATTTATTGAATTATCCTAAACACAAGTTTAATATAAACAATACAAGTTACATTAGTAGTGCGAAGGGATAACAGTATTATATGTCTCATAATACATACTTTGAATATTTTCGTGTTATAATTTATATCCCAAAGAGGCCGCCATGTTTTGATTTCATCTATTACCGTACCATACCGTCGAAACACAAACTACGTCAAATCATTAATAAAAAATTGATTACGATCAAAACAGATAAATGCAAATGTATAATTATAATAGTATATTTCAAGGGCGGGCGAAAATGCGAGCATTAACCTACAGTGTGGGGTTTAAAAGTACACCATACAAATCGCCTTTTGTAACATTTCCGCGAAGATCTGCATTTTGTTGTCCTAGGTGGGCTCAGGTTACTTCTAAAGTAGAGTATTATATCCTATATCATCTAGGCGTACTCTATATTGTATAACACCAATAGATGTCGCTTTCATTCTCTTTTTTATGTTGTTATATTTATTATACTAGTGCCAGTGACGAGTATATGATGCATATCTATTATCGTAGATAAAAAAGAAAGAACAAATTATCTTCTTAGTGATAGTATCATTTGTTATACTCTCTCTTATATGTCTATACTCCTTAATTATCTCTACTGAAATGAGATATACTCTATTTCTTCTAACAAAAGTTGGCAAACCTACCTACCTATACAACAAATTATTCGGCTAAGGGACAAACATCCAAGCCAAGAATAAACTATTAAAAAACAACAATCTAGGCTAGTTCATCGGTTATTTAAAATAAAAATAAAAATGCCGTAGAAAAGTTTTAGAAAAAAATTATATTGAAAAATCTATGTATGCCTATATTTACTTTTTACTGTAAAGGCCTAGTACAAGAAAATATCAAAACCGGCTCAGAGTAAGTCAGACTCGTACTTAGAAGAACCCGGAAAAAATATTAAATTTAAAACCATAGACTTGTTACAGATTTCTTTAATATATTGATGAAGATATAGAACTATTTTCTCTATGTTTAAAAATTTTAGGCCATGTAGTGTAAGAAATCAGAAGGGGGTGTTACATTTTCACTAGAGATGCGTCAAATAGTGGTTTTACTGACTAACTGAATATTCGGTTTAACTTTTACCGAACCGGATATTCGGCCGAATTATTCAGCTTACTGTTTTCATTATTTTTATTAAGCCAGAGTGTTACTAAGTGCTCTTTGTAATATAACAAAGATTTTGGAACCACGGAACGTTTGTAGAATAGTAAAATTTTAAATAACACTTATCTCAACCACAATTTATTCAAGAAAATGCTTTTGAAATTTTTATATATTAGAAATTGAGATTTTGTTCATTTGCTCGACAAAGTTTTTTCCAATAATCTATACTAATATTCTAAACAGGAAAGATTTCATTGTTTGATTGCATTCGATATACTTCGAATCTATTGGATCTATAGTAAAATTCTTTCAAGAAAGCTCCTTAAGACTCGGGGTACATAAGCTATAATTTGCGCTAGCTATTAGAAGTAAATAGCTAGTTTGATACAAATTGGTTCACAATTCAAAAAGAAATTGATGAATATACCTACTTATATAAAAAATATACATGCCCGTTGAACAGAACAGATTTCGCCATTCGGATTTTGAATGAATGCAAAATACGCAATCTTTCGTTGTTTTCGCTGAAATTAACATATCATCAAAATAAGTGGTGATATCTGATGAAAAGCATATTTTATTTTATTATGAGCTGTTGAAAACAAAATAATTTTGAAAATCTGTCAAAAAACATAAAAAAATACATCGCCGTCGAACATGTAACCATCTCCTTTTCGATTTTGAAGTCGATTAAAACCTTACAAATTTGCCAGAGAGAGCTTGGTGTATCTGCGCCATAATTTACCAATAATTCATTTTAAATATTAAAATAACTATATATTTATTTTTGATTATCTTTATTTTAATAGAGATTATAGTTTATAAAATAAATATGTACAATTTGAAGCTACATTGTTTTATTTTATTAAACGTATTCTTCATAGGATTTCTTTAACTTACATTGTAACACATTTTTCAAAAGAAGTTTTGTCTTTAGTTCTATACTGTGTCGTGTAGCCAAGAAACCGAACCGAATATATTTGGCACTAAATCCGAATTCGGCCCAATTAAAGTAAAGTAAGATGCCGAATACAAAACGAATACTCGGCGCATCTGTTCTTTTTAACTATTTTCTTAAATATTATTAATTCATTCATTTAAATATATTCTCACAACAAGCCCTTTCATATAATATAGTTCACAAAACTGTTTGTTTTAGTTCGCTTGATCGATTTTTTTTATTTACGTTTATTGGTTTAAAGAGCCATACAAATTTGACATTCATTAGAGCTTATAGACGTCATTAAACCTTAATGGACGTATGTGCAACTGACCGTGACTTACATAGGTGTACTGAATTTCATTTTAATCGGACCACTAGTTTAGGAGAAAATTAATAAACAGACACACAATTGATCCTATAAGGGTACCGTTTGTTCCTTTTTTTTAGTACCCCAAAAAGATTGAGACTGCGTGTAAATTATAATCGGTTAATTTTTAGAGAGTATAATAAAATTATAACTCTATTTTTATCTCATCTGTTTGGAACTCTGATTGTCATCTGTTTTGATTCCCCTGGTTTTATCTTAGTTTGGAGAATATGGTTGACCAAAAGATCGTAAGAACTATATTAAATACGGATCAAAATATTTTTGTGAATTTTTCCAAAGAATAAAACAGTGGGAACTCTATTTTTTTCTTATTTGGAACATGGATGGCCATTTGTCAGGATTTCCTAGGTGTTATCCTAGTTTAGAGAACTAAAAAAAAAACAAAAATACGTTAAATACATTGCATGTAACTTCTAATTCGTTAATATTTAAATGAATTTTTGTAAGAACAAAAAGAGATAACTTTATTTCTATCTTATATGGAACTCGGGTTGTTTACTATCTGTATTTCCCTTATATATCGGGAACTCGCAAAATATAAGGTACAAGGTAGCAATCCCGTTTTTAGCAATAATTCTGATGTTAATGACCAATGACAGTTTCAAACAACATATTGGATTGACATATGATCCTAGCTTGAGAATATAAATAACCAAAAAGTCAAACATCTTTGCATGTAAATTTTAATTAGTTAATATCAATTTTCGTCAATATCAGTACGAATGAAAAACTGGTAACTCTAATTCTAATTTAAAACTCGTGTTAACATCTGCCAGGTTTTCTCTGACTCTATTAGCTGGTTGCCATCCGAATTCCTCTGGTCTTATAGCCATACTTTGGAATTTCCGACCGGGATTTCATATTGATACTGTCAGAGATCGCGTTTTTAGGAACTACTTATTGGTAGTCGCTACCGTCATACGTCATCGCTGTAGCATAAGACATCTAAAAGTCGCCAGAAGACGGAAGATGCTTTGCGAATCATCGGTCGCGGAACGTCACAAATGAAATATATATGAAATGAAATCGAACCTTGCGTACTCGACGGAAGATCCCTATCCTCGCGTGAGCATTAAGACGGATCTTCCTTCAGACTTGCAGGAAAGAAAGAAGAAATAAGAAGACGAATTAATAAAGAGTAGTGATAAGGGACCGACAGTGTCTACCCGTATTAAATGAAAGATTTTTTGAAACTTTTAGAAACACATCATCTTTGATAAGATTTAGACTTCTATATATAATTTAAATAACTTTTAAACGGTTTCATCGCGTTTGTATTTTTCTTTTATTGACGTTTGATTTAAAAAAAATGAGATATTTTACCAAATTGAACATCATTTAGACATTATTTAAATCCTCGTAAAATTGGGCTTGTCTGAACATAGTCAGTTTAAATGTATATTTAGATTATAAACTATATTAGGTTTAAATTAAGTAAGAATATATTAATTCTAATAAGATTCTTAATTGATAATGCTTATAATTTTTTTTTGTTCTTCTTACATTTTGATAAAAACACAACTTTACCTTTTTTTAAATTTACAAATTGATCAACACTGCAATTATTCCACAAAGAGTCTATGTGCGAGTGTTTTTATTGTGAATAGATAAGTAGATATTAACCATTTACTAATTAAAATGAATTTAACAGTATGTTGTTTGCATAAATAGGATTGATATGCAGGCCTGGCCGCCCTAGGCAATGTTTGCTCACATAATTTAGGCACTGGGTATGTCTTGGCAACTTTTATGGATATAGTGTATGTCATCATGAATTAATAATATATCTTCTTATTGCTACATCTGATGATATAAATATGTCAGTGTAGAATAGACAGGCCCACAATCGTGGGCATGTATGTAACTACATGTACATACTGTCACAATAACTATCTAAGTAATCCTAAAAGCCTTTATTCCAAGAAAATACTTCGAAATGTATATGAAATAACAGCTGTTATATTCCTATTTTTATTTTAGTGTTTGTGTTGAATGAACAAGTGAAGATAGATCAGTACCAGTACTTTTTATACCCTATATTTTATGCTTATATTAGCCGCTTCAGATGTCTGGACACCCAGGCCGGGCCTGTTGTGGATACCACTGGATATGTTTCAATAGGGATTACGATTGTTTGGCAACAATAATTAAAAGCCAAGTTTAAATTTTGTATTCTATGCCTGATAGAAAGACTATAGATAGTCACACCTATACGAGATCACACTATAGGTACATGGTATGTTTACTGCACAGATTGGACATCCAATCTAACATACTCACTGTGGTGAAAAGAATTAAGCCCGCCTTAGTATCACAGCTGATTTAAGTCCAGTGCTTCCACGGTAAGTTGTTTTTCACAGTGTGTGTACACGAAATCCGATGATATCCGTCATAATCTGGTACAAGCCACGGGATTACACGCGTCCACGCGCGGCCTGCCGTCACCCACTAACGTAAACACCAGAAAACAAACCGTATCCGAATCCGAAACCGATAAATCAAAGCGCACGATCGCGGCGACGTCGCTTATCCGTTAAATCCTGTCGGGATCGCGTAAAAAATACTAGTATTAAAAACAGTCTTAAGTGGGCTTACGATCGCGGCGCGGTGCGGCCCGCGCTGGCTCTAATCTCGGCCACTTCCCGGAGCAATTTGAACCTAACTCCACCACTCTATACATCATCCGGCCGCCCGCCCACCGCCGCGCTCGCGCGCCCCTCCCGTCGTCTCTTTCACACGCGCGACCGTACATGCCCTTCTCACTTGCACACTCCAATCTCGCCGCGCTGAAATTCAGTGCGTGTGGCGCAGGGCGCAGTCAGCTGGCCGAACTTGTGCGAATAAAATCGACTTTTTATCGGCTCTATGACGCTTCGTGACGTCACTGTTTACTTCGCTGCGAACGTGGACATTGGATCTTCGACGGACTGCTGTGACGTGACGCCGTTTTGCGAATTGACTTTATGATCTCTTCACTAGTTTATTGTTGGTATTGTACTGTATTCAATACATCGATAAATTTAGTTGATTAAAACGCTTAGTAAATAGTAATACGAAATACAAATCCTCGTAGATAATTGTAATATGCAGATTCGTTATAGATACAAATTTAAACTCCTTTGAATGAACTCTGTTTAACTATACCTACTGAATACATAAAATAATTGCAATTTAAATCGCGTAACGTGCAACAGAGTCAGTGGTAATAAATAAAAGCTCGCTCCGCTTCGCAACGTAAACAGATCGGGCGCATTAACCGCGCGTCGGCGTACATAAAGAGAGCGGTATAAATATAAAGTTCCCACTCGCCGGCGCGCAAACTTAGCTAAACAACGCCATAATTGCCTTCATTACTTAAATTACTGAAATTATTTATTCAAAAAGCTGGCAACATTTGGCGCGTGGCCCCGCCTCGCGTCGCACGGCCAATGGGCGAGGGGCGGAGGCACGGGCGTGGCACGGCAAAATGGCGGCCGCGCGCCATCCGCGCCCGCGTTCCCGCCGTTTCAGACGGTTCCCGCGCTACATTTTTTTCGCGTGTCCGGTGAATTTTTCTCCTAATTGATGTTGTGATTTCGTTGTGTCAAATGAACTGTGTCGTAACGTGATAATCGAGCTTGGCGACTACGATTATTGTAAGGCGACTGCTACGAAAACTGAACGACGGACGTAGACGCATACTAACGCCGACGGCATGCGACCGACGGGATAGCATCGCGAAATAGTTATTGAATATTTTCAATAATGATGGCTCATTGTAGTGCTTAGCGAATTTGAATAAGTACATAGATTTTTTTTTGTAAAATATTTGAAAACTTTTGAGATTATAATTTTAAATATTTACCTTTAAAAATACTTATTACTTTTAATAAAAACATAAATACTGATAATTAGTAAACAACTGAAACGGTTATACGTATTATTACTATATTGACTCAGCATACTTAATTACAAAAACATATATAATTACCTATCTATTAATTGAAATTTGCTTGATAATAATAGAAATTAAGTACATTTTTGTTGTATGTTTTAAAAATCAAATTATATTTTCCTTTTTTTAGAATTTTATTTCATAGGTATAATACCAACTAAAAAAACTGAATTTACTTATTACCGAATTCAAGGGGATAACGACAATATCCATTAGGTATTTATAAATATCATACAACCGGTAAGTTTATTACATTACTCATATAAAAATCATAAAATTGCTTTTAATTCTGCAAATTAAAATTTTCATCTCTTAAGGAAGTGCTGTCACTTAGCGTTTATACCAGAAAGGAGAAAGTGTAAGCTATAAGTGTATCTATAATATTAGTTATAAAGTGAAAAGAATTGATTGTTTGTTTGTTTGCATCGAATAGGCTCAGTAACGACAGTTTTCCCGCGACTTCGTCCGCATATATTATAACCTATGTCAGCCGCGTATGATTGTAGCTTTGCGTACGTGAAAGAATTTTAAAAATCGGTTCTGTGGTTTCGGATATTATTCAATGCAATCTAATAAACCTACAAAAAATCCCCCCTTTTTTATTATATTAGTGTAGATTTAAAATCCTCAAAATATTTTATTGAAGTCTGGAGGTCTATTATTTGTTTAATAATAATAAAGTATATATTAGATATTATTACATATTATCTCGACGACAGAGAAATTATTTATTACTTATATTAGAACTTCAAATTGTTTTCTCAATAGAATTTATAAAATACTAAAATATGAAGTAATCTGAGCGAAACACTGGATTCTGGCGAAATCCAGAAGGGCAACGCCATTAATTAAAAAGAATAGAAGGTATTTGGTATTCCTATAAGAAATAAAAAAATAAGTATTTTTTATATTTCTAAGTGACATATAAATATTAGTAAAGTACCTATTTACTTATTTTAAAGAGGTCTAAGTCATAATAATTAAATTAATAACAATTCAAAATCTTTTTGTGTATATTTTATTATTATAGCATTTTGAATGCAAAGTTGATCAAATATTATAAATTTTTTAGATTCATTAAAAGTAGATAGCAACCGTTTGTTTTTCTTAGTTCTTTATAACGTGTACATGCTTACAACACTTTCGCAAAATTAAAATAAAATAAGTAATAAAAGTGTAAAGTAATACTAAATTTCCATAGGCCTAGTGAAACAATACACATAGGCAGGTACTACGATTATTAAGAAAATTCCTAAAATTTATAAAACAAATATGGATGTGTTCCTACGTAACGAAACACTGAGGAAAATATTAAAAAAAAATCTGATCACAGTTCTAACCTGACCTAGTCTAAAGTTTACGGTGTTCTACACAATAAAAGTGGATAAATAAATAATGTAAGGAAAAACAAATATAGAGATTTTCTAAGCTTCACTTTGTCTCTAGTATTTACAAAAATTATTGTACAACGGGCACAAATAATACAACAACTCAGGATTCCAAATATTTATTTTCAGTGTAGGTATAATAAAATTAATGCATAACATAAGTAACAAGTAAGTAAATTAAAAAACAAAAATATTTCTTAATTACATCTCTCTGTATGATAAAATCTAATGCTCAGCTTTCCTACTAATTGATAAAAATAGCCTCGAATTCGATGAAATAAAACCTTCTTATTATATTTCAAATAGATTTTTATTTATATCTATTTGGTAGAACCTCTAAGCAGTTACAACACTAAGTAGTCGAGTTCTAAACCGTTTTTTATAACCAGAGGTCGGAATTAGGTAGAGTTATTTATGTACTTGCATCGAAATGTTGATATTAATGTGGACCTTCCCGGGATTTCTTTATTTCTTCTTTCTTTATTTATTTCTTTCATTGATGTAAGTTTAGCAACGTCGTGCGTGCAGTAGTTTAAATTGTGTTAAAGTAAATAACTTTTTATTTAAAAAATCACGGGATTTTTTCTGCTCTTTAAAATTAATCTCGGGATTTGAGGCATATCCACTTTATTCTTTCGCTGTATGAAATCAGTGTAAGTACATGAATAACTCTACCTAATTCCGACCACTGTTTATAACATAATAGCACTGCTGTATACCTACGTTATGTTAAAGATGTCCATACGTTAGCTCATGTGAACATCTATGCGAAACAGTAGCAGCTCTTACTTTTTCGAGATGTCAAGTGAACAATTCAAACGCACATGATGTTAAAAAAATAAGGTATAAGAAAGATTTAAGACCTATGTCTTAGGCTGTATTGCACCATAATATCAGTTAAGAAGATAAATGTCTAATGTCGTTGCAGCATACTCTTTCTTGGTATAGTAAATAATTACTATAACCATAAACAGTTGTGGTTATAATAAAAAGTTATGTAATAAAGTTTTGACGTCATCTTACCGATGCCGAATGGTTAACGTGTTCGTTATTGTTAAAGTTAAGTTTGTGCAACCGACCCTTAGTATTTTGAAGCATATTGTATTAGATTCGACCAATTTTTTGTGTAATAAAGGTTTTCAAAATAAGGCCAGTATCAGTAATTTAGGTACACTTATAGAAGTTTTTTTTTAATTTAAACACTTGTACTTTAATTTAGGCAAAAGGTGAACAAACAGTTTTATTATTTAAAAAATTTTGCACAATTACAGTGACTGATATATATTTTATTCAATTAACAACCGACAAACGGTTCTTTGTTAATTTTCGGAATCGACAACATCATATAACTGTAGTATAAAAATAGACACAAACTATAGAAATTCAATGAAAAACAACATTTATTACCTTTTGAAGTTGATAGTTTGATAGTGATTGTTTTTCGTCGTTGGAATTTTTTTATATTACCTACTAGTTTTGCAACTTTTTTTGTGCAATGTATGTGGCGTTGTAAAATATTTACTTATTATTATTAATAATCATTTGTCAAGCGACAAAAAGATACCATTAAATATATAAAATAAGAACTGCTACTCATTATTTTGCTGCGCTACTGTTCTTTATTATTTGGTAAAACTGGTTTGGAAATCGGTAAAGCCAAATCAGGAGAATAGGAAAGTTCAACTTTTCCCTATCCTAATTCCAGTATTTTTAATAGCGCTAGTAAATCCATTTATTCGAAAATAGAAGACTTACAAGAATTGTACTCGTATCTTTTTATATATACTTTCGCATATATAGAATAAATGGTGATATATTAAGTGAAGGCAAACATTGTACATATTTATTTGTGCTACAAAGCTTTAATAAATATAAAAATAAATACCTACCATTAATATTTTTTTAAATATCGCTTAATCTGTTGATGCAAAAAATTGATTCTTTTTACTCTAGACCAAACGTAATATACCTGAATAGAAGTCTTAGTCCTAACCATATTTTAAAAATTCTCATTGAAGTAGTTTCTAGAGTTAATAAGAGGTAGGACTTCGATTGTAAATGTACATAGATAACCTAAATTAGTTGTTTTAATTTAATTTATGTAATAAATGAGACGATTGTAAAATAAATATAAGATTATGTGGAAACTGTTTTATCCTTTTTATAAGAAAAATAAAGACTTTGTATTATTATATCTTGTTTCATTGCGATATCTCACATCCTTATGTTTAAATTTGTAAAAATTATGTCGCACGTTGAGAATCACAATGTCACTAACCAAAAACGACATATTTTTTACTTTTGACAACATTTTTCTTTGTTAAGT